AAAATTAAAATTATGCCAATATTTAGGACTAGTATTTTAATTACTAAATATTTATAAATATTATAAAATATAATTTTATTATTTTAAATTAAAATTTTAAAATAGTTTTAATCTTTATAATTTTATTTTTTAGAATTATAGAGATCAATATTTAAATGGTTTATACCAATTGAGTTGTAGGAGTCAACGCTGAGAAATTATGTTATAATCAAATTAAAACTATAAGAATCGAATTACAACAAGTTAGAGTTTAGGAATTGAATTATAACTGAATCAAAATTTTAAAAATTAAATAATTAATTTTTTTCTTTATTTAATCTAAAAGGTAAAGATTATCAAAAATAAAAGATGTAAAGTAATAGATATATTTACACCCTCACCGTAGAGGGTGTAAACTCGTAAATGCTGGTAAGTATGTTCTTGTATTTCTGAATGTTGGTATATATATAAATATTATTCCTATAATCAAATTTAATCAAGATTCGGAATCGCATTATATGCTCGACCCGTTACTATACCAGAGGACCGAAATTAATTAATTAAATTGACTGCAGAATAGTAGCTGGTTTTGAAAATAATGTTGGAAGTGATCAGCATTCAAACCTTCTTCCATTCAATCAATTCTGTGGGAAGACAAAATCTCAGTATCAACCCCGGAAAAAAAAAAAAACAAAAAAGTGGGACTCAACGACTCAGGTTCTCAGTACAGTCACGATATTATTATATTTAATAATTACTTGCTGCGCATGTTGGGTAAACATGCATGCTTATAATAAGTTATAATTCTCACATCTCTTTAAACCCTGTATTAATTAATACAGCTAATTAAACCAAAATTACTCGCAAAGCTAAAATTTAATTCAGTGCATTTGCAGGGCAGTTAAACTTCAAACCTCAAAGCCCAGCCGCGATCCCCACTATTGTACCGCAAGGTCCACGACACATGTACTATGACTTAATTTAAATTATTATTTCATTTTGTATTATCTAAAATAATTCTTTACTTCTCTCTTAGGTATAAAATAAAAATATTTAATTTTTCTTAAATGAATAAATCATTGTATATTAAAAATACATTACTCTCTTATTCTTTCGTGTAGTTCTCTCTAATTTCTCGTTAAAATTTAAATTATTAATGATTTTTCTATAAGAATAAAAACTGCTGAATAACTAGTGGAACTCTATCCCCGGAAAAAAAAAAAAAAAAAGGGACCAGCGGAAGTCCCGAAAGTCTTTGTCTTTGTCCTTTTCTCGGTTTAATTTATTATTAAGGAAATGACAATAAAGTTTAAAATAATGAATGAATGGTAGTTAAATTTACTAAAAAAAATTTATAAATAAATTATAAATATAAATTTAAAAAATTATAAATAAAAATTTAAATTGTAAACTAACTTTGATATTTAAAATTTAAAATTAAAACTTTTAAATTTACAATTATTTAAATTAACATTTATAACTTCAAAAAAATTATCGGGATCTAATTGTGATTAATTTTTTTTAGATATGACTATCATTCTCCCATTATTATTGTTATTATTAAGGATAAAGTCTAGATTTATGCAGACGTGCCAATTGACAGTTCTCAATTTTTCTTTCTTTCTTTCTTTCTTTTTTTTTTTTTTCTGACTTGCTGGATTTACGGTCTTCGTTTTTATTTTTGAAAATAGAGGACATCTGCCCTTTCGGATTTTTCAATACACATTGACCTGAAACTGTAAATTATTTTGGGCATTGGTGCATTTTTATTTTTAAAATATTTTTATAAAAATATTCATTATCTTAAACTATTGATTAAAATAATTTTATCCTTAAAGCAAGTAAAACAATACTTTTGCCTTTTTTATTAAATTTTTTAATAATCAATATTAGAGTTTCAATTAATATTTTTTAATGGTGAACATTGACGATTTGATAATAAAAGCAAAGATGCCCTAGAGTAAATATTTTAAAGATAAAATAGAGCATCTTTTCTCTTACCATTCAACCAATAGTGAGAGCAAATATGCTGCATTTTGTAATGTTGGGCATTCTTCAAAAAATATTTCATGAAAAAAAGGAACTTTTAGCCAATTATTTTAGCTACAACGAGAACAGCTGGCTTTAGCTTCGGGCAATGAAATATATAGATTAAAAATTGACAGTTCATGCTAACATTGAGAGTATATTTCGAGTTGACCCATCATCAAATGATGGGTGGGTAAATAATTTGGATCTTGAATACTTGAAAGTGGCAAAATTTACTCAGATATGCAAAATATTATTCATATATATATATATATATATAATACTATTTAGCATTTTTAAATAAACAAATATAATTTTTTTTGCATGTATACGGAGATATCAGTTACTCAATAAAAGGGGTCTAAACCGAATTTACACGTAATGCAGCGTTCAAATTCAATTTTGTATAATGGAGATCAGATCTTTCATGATTAGCTATAAGAGCGTCTATGGATATCATTAAATTATTGTTATCATCTTTTCGATGCTATATATATTCTTCAAAAGGAAATTACTAATAATACTACTATACTGTGTATTATGCTGTGCCCAGACATTAAAATACCCTATAAAAGACACCGACAACCAAAAATTAATCATTGAGTTGACAGATGCGATTCATTCGTATTCATTAATTTACTTTTTTTTTTTGTAAGAGTAGTAATAGTAATTTGTTAGAATTACAAAAATCTCCAGTTGCATACATAACCCTAATCTACCAATAAACACTAAATTTATAAACGGCACACTTAAAAAAAGTGAGCCGAAAAGTCTTTTAAACACAAAACATAAATTTCGTGTTTCTGTTTGAAAGTAAGTAATAAAAAAAAAAGGTTGAATAACGAATAACTTTAATTCTGCCTTGTGAGTCTCATTGTTATTATGTTAACTCGATGCTAGATTCGTGAATGGTATTCTCCCGCGGTGCCGCCGATCACACAATCATGTCTTTATTGATATTATCAGGTCGTGGGTTCGATTTGGTCCATGGCTCCAGGCTACTTCAAAGCATAAAGCATTATTTTAAGAGAGACCAACCTTTTCCTCACAAGTCGTGATTACGTGGTTCTTTAACTAAAACAACATAATAATTATTTATTATAACTTTTTTCCATTTATTCCTGTTCAACTGTGAACGAGAAAGTAGACAATTTTTCAAAGATGCATTTAATGTATGGGTAAGTTAGGAAACTTATTTAATTTATAAGCAAATTTAATTACTTTTAAAATTTGGAGCTTTTGCACAGACACTCCATGTTATAAGATAGTCCATCCTTTCTTAAATTTTAAAAATGACATTTTGAATATTTAGATCATAATGAATTTACAAAATTATCTTTTTAAATATATGCTCTTTTTTTCAAATACTATGAGATTTAAAATGCAAGAAATCTTTAGAACGGGAGAGACAAATTTAAAAGAGAAAACGAAACTCAACGCGAGAGAGATGAACGTGAGATATCAGAGCAATGTGAGTAAGTCACAGTCACAACGGCAGGAGACAAATGTGAGGTGAGATATATCAATGGTACTTGATGAAATGAAGCATGCCGAAGAAAAAATGGAGTTACAAATTCATAATTTTTTATTTTATTAGTTTAAGTATTTGATTCTTTATGATAAGCTAATAGTCTAAAATTTGTTGTGGACTATCTTTGATCTGTTTTAGACAAATGATTGTATTTTTTGTGTTATTGATATGCGATAATACCTCATTAATATACAATTATATATCAATTATAAACAAGTTTATGTTTGATTGTCCAATTATGTTGATCTATGAAAGTATATTAATATTATCATATATCACTAATATATAAGTCATATTAAAAAAAACTTACCAATTTGTCTATTATTCATATACTGTTTTATATTAATGACGTAATATTGCAAATCAATAATGGAGTTTCCTTTTCAATATTTAATGTTCTCTTTATAATATTTGGGAAAAACAAAGAGGGAGACACAAGTTTTGCAATGAAGATAGTAATTCAGAAAAATCAGATCAAAAATTATGATAAAAAAAAACATCGTATAGAAGATAAATATGATGATCTAGGAAAATTAGATTAAAAAATATGATAAAAAAATATTTAAAGATAATAAATTAGAGAGAGATCATACGCAATATGATTTTTGATGATAAAAATAAAAAATTTAATCAGTTAAATAATAGTTAAATTAAATATATTTTATTTTAATAATAAAGGTATTTCAAGGATAAAAAAAAGAAAAACACATCTAATTAATTTTATGAATGGGTCATATTTTAAAATATTCAAAAACCTCATTCATAATTTATAAAAATTATATTTTTTAAGACCATTGAGTTAATCTTCTCTTAGAATTTTAATCAAAGAAATTTATTAAAAATTAATAGTCATTTAATTATTTAATTATAAAATAAAATTTAAAAAAAGAGGGAGGGAGGTCGGAAGAAGACCTAAATCATCTAGTCACGTGAGATTTAGGCGAATCTTATTTTGTTTTCCGCATTAGCGCACACTTCAACCGATAAATAAAATTACAGAGAACCTAAATTCCACTTACTCAATAAATATTGTTATTATACTGTAATGATAATCCATAAAAATAATGTTAATGATATGAATACTTGATTGGACGGACTGGAGAGGGCACAAGGACTCTTTATGGTACCTCCATCACGCCTGTCTGGAACCCGACCCACATAGGCTAGGAGTCAGGTCAGGGTGATCTAGGTGTTGATGTGGGACCGGAACCACGTACGGTTCTCTGGACAGGTGAGCAAAAGCCGCGACCCGAACCGGGGGCCATTAGAAACTGGCGGTGTTCTTCACGCGCTTCGAGGGATCGAGCGCGGGGCGACAGGCCTCGCCTGCGTGTTAACCTGTTCCCAGAAACGAAGGCTTTCGATGGTCAAAACCTGATCAGCCTCGATACTTACCCAACCCAAAGAACTCACTCATTACTTCGCAGTTCGCTCACGATAACACACGCACTGGGCCCTCGCCCCCACTTAAACCAAACGACTGAAATATCGCCTCAGTCGCTGCCAATGATTCTCATTACCCATTTCTCTCTGATTCTCTCACTCTCTTCCGTTCTTAACTGCCAAACACATCCTCTCTCAGGTTTCTCCTCTGCGTCGCACCTTCGTCCTTCAATCTTCCTCTTCTTCGCGCTACCTAGCTGATACACTCTACACATGTTATCTTCGTCTCTAACATAGTAATAAATATGGATCATTCACTGTCCGGCCTTCTCTGCCAAGAAAACCGAGCAGAGGCGGTGGTAGTGGATGAAGATTTATACGTTCAGTTTGAGGATTCTAATGCTTCAGAGGATGAGTATGTGGACGTTTTAACTGAGAAAGAGATCGGCCTTGGGTTCGGAAGGGACGAGTCTTCGGTGTTGAGTGATTGGATCAAAACTGCTCGCTTGTATGCCATCAATTGGATTCTCAAAGTTAGTCCACCAACCCGTTCTCTCTTGTTTTGGTTGAGATTCGTTCATTCCTTAATCACACTTCAATTGCATAATTTGACCTTTTTTTGGCCTTTCTCTTTGGTGAATTTGAGTACTCCAGACAAGAGCCACTTTCGGCTTTCGCTTTCAGACGGCTTACTTATCTGTCACATACTTCGACCGATTCCTTTCTAGACGGTTCATCGATGTGAGTTCAACTCTTTTACGAGCGCCAACATTCCCTGTGTTATTCATAATTCTTGATTAACATGATAAAAATATAAACCATATATGTTATTATGCAGAGTGAGAGGTGTTGGGCATTTAGGTTACTATCAGTTGCATGCCTTTCTCTGGCTGCCAAGATGGAGGAGTGCGACGTTCCGGCGCTATCAGAATTTCCTTCACAAGATTATAACTTCGAAAGCAAAGTGATTCAGAGAATGGAGCTTTTGGTGCTTTGCACACTGGACTGGAACATGAACTTCACCACTCCTTTTGCATTTTTACCTTATTTCATCCCAAAGTTCAGCAACCAATCCCCTCCGGCTCACATTTGGTCCAACATTATGCAGCTCATCTTCACATTAATGACAGGCAAGTTACGAGCATCGCATTAGATGATGAACTTCTCAATCAAAGATGGTTTTACGTGACCAGTAATGTATTAATTTAATATATGATTTAATTTGCAGAGGTCAATTTGATGGATCATAGGCCCTCCGTGATAGCAGCGGCGGCTACTCTGGTGGCTATTGATCCGCATTTGACGAGAAAAGCCGTAGAATTGAAGATGAGTTCGGTTTCTCAATATTGGATTCACGAAATTGTGAGTTATGCATTTATTTTCTCATCGTCCGCATTGAAATTTAAGATGATTAGAACTGTTTAATTAGTCGAGGGACAGAATGTAACAGTTCAGTCTGCACAGGAAAACATATATGCGAGTTATGATCTAATCCAGAGATTACACATGGAGAAAACTGAAAGAGACAAGATGATGCAATCCTCGAGTCCTCCTTCGCCTGTGGGATCGATGGCAATCAACAAGCTAGAGGCTTCTGTAGTTAGTTCTGCTGTTACGTCCAAGAGAAGAAGACTCACGTTCACTGATCACGAAGAAAGTCGAGGCACACACGACGGAAGTTAAAGGATTCCACAAGGGAAGATCAGATTTTGAATTTGCTTAACAAGTTCCAGAGATTATGCGTTCATTTAATTTTTTTCTTTTATAAAGATACATATATTCTCCTCCAAGGTAAAACGATGAAAGGAAAGGTGTTTGATTACTAGTTGACAAAAAAAAAATGTATGGGGTTGATTGAGAGTGTCCCTGAGGAAGAAGCAAAGAGAGGAGGAGGAGGAAACGTGAATAAAAATCCTGGCTCTGGGCAAATATTGGAGTGCTCAATGGACCAGGAAGGACAATTGCCAGATATGGCATGGAAAGCTACATGATGAACATGGCCAAATAGGCGATAGCGATATGATACTTTGTTTTGTTTTTTTTTTTTTACCTTACTTTTTTGCCATTTTTATTCAATCCCTTTTCTCTTATTTCTTCTGCTTGGTCTTTTTAACCTTGGGTTCCCCACTTGAAAGTGGGCTTTGTAATGACTTTAGCAGCCCTACGGTGCTTGGGATGCTCTGTTGCTACTACTGTTAGTGTCCCTGAAAAGGGGGTATGAGAAGTGTGCTGGTGAATTGGTGTGATTGGATGCATGGTTGTGTTGCATATTGGGCATCACAAAGTTGTGTGAAGCTGAAAGTAATTATATTTGCTTCAATGTCTGGCCACTGCTCGTGCCTTTAAGGCCGACCCTACCCTTTTTGCCTCCATGCTTCATTTGCTTCGCTGTGTTCAGGTCATTGAATTTGAAACCTCAAGCCATTTTTGCCGAGTTACAAGTGATTTGGACATTTGTTATGCTTTAATGCAATGGATTTTTGCGCGCTACGCCCACTCTATGGGCAATCTGAAGAAATATTTAGCGTTTCCGTTGGTTTTCTCCTCATGTATAGAATTAACACAGGGCGCCCTGTTTTTTTACACTTGACAGCCCATGTGTACCCAAATATTCCACCTTAGTCCATGTGTACACTTGCCAACTCATTTCCCCCCTTCATCGTCAGCTCCTCTCTCACCCTTCTATGTTTCTCTCTCTCGTTTCTGTCTCAATTCCCATCAAATCCACTCGAGGCATCCTCAATACAAATCTCGTCTGGATCTAGATGATGTTGAATCGGAGAAGGAGAAGAATAGTGGGAGAGGGAGATGAGGGGAGAAACAGTGTGGAGTCCTCTATCATTGATAAGAACTCAAAAAAAACAAGAGAAAATAGGAGGAATAAATCTATTAAAATAATATAAAATAAGTATCTAATTTTATATTTTTCTCAATAACCACACTTAAAAGAATCTTTCAAGAATTTAAGAACTAGTTTATTGATAATGATATGCTAGCTTTTAGGTTTCTAATCATATTTATAAAGCCAAATACAAATAAAATCTAGATAATTAGATAATAAAAACCAAATAAAAATCTGAATCTAAATAAGATTTAGATAACTAAATATCTAAATAAAATTTCTTAAACTTCAATCTAAATAATATTCTAATATTAAATAACAATGAAATAAAATCAAATTTAAATCAAATGATATTTAATTTATCTTCTGTCTCTTCTTCCTCGAATAGGTCTGTCATGGAATCTTATCTAGAATCTGATCAATCATCGTGACCGACATCAGCTTCATCAACTTCCATCTTCGATCTTTAGATCTAGAATCTTCCCAATATGCTTCCATCTTTGTCCTTTACATTTGTTTGTCATGTTTGAGGAATGAAGCTAAGAAAGAAAGAGTGGCAATGATAGTGGCTTCGTCATCGGCAATGGACGGAGGAAGGTGGGTCTTACCTAAGCTCGACGTTCAAGCTTCCAAGCATTCTTCATCCACTGGTATCTTATTTTAAGGGCTTTAATTTATTGGGTTTGATTCCTGGGTTCGATTCTTTTGTCCTAGATCCTCCCCGGCTCTACCCATCGATGGCAATGATGACAATACCAAGTCCTCAGCTCCAACAAATTCCCCTTCATCGTTTTCCATTTCGACTTAGCATAGGATCTGGGGTAAGCTTTGATTTTTTTGGGGCTTTTGGATTTTGATAAGGCTTTGATTTGATTCAAGTTTTTTTGTTTTGGCTCAATTTCTTGCTTTTTGTGAGTTAAAGTTGACTGATTGCTTTTTTGGATTTATGGGTTCAATTCTTTCTTTTTTCCCCCTGACTGTTGGGTTTGATTCTCTCTTTCCCCCCTAACTATGTTCGTTTGAAATGAAATATGATTCTTTTGATGTTCGATGCTTCAATTTCCAAACTCGATCTTTTACTGGTTTTCTTTTTCTTTTTTATTTTTGGAACAATTTTGTTTGATGCGAGGGAGAGCTAAGGTGGTAAGTGAGGGCGTGCCAGATCGCAAATCCTCCAGATGAACACTACAAACTTTTTGTTCTGGTTTTGGTCATGAAAGGATGGAGGGATTTGCAATGTGGATGCTGAAGGAGAAGTTGAAGATTGAAGATTTTGGGGTGATGTTACGAAGATGGAAGAGAGAGAGGAGTTGGCAAGAGGTGGAATATCTGGTGCTCACATGGGCTGCCAAGTGTCAATTTTTAGTCAACCAAAATGATGTAACGGTCAAACTTAACTGACTTTAATGGCAGGACACTGGGTGATCCAGTTTGTAAAGTTTAAGGGGTGGAATGACCATAAAAGAGTATAAAAAACTGGGTGCTTCTTGGGGATATAGTTCAGAGACAAACACAGACTTAAACCCATTTAACTTATCATAAACTTAGTCAACCGTCCAAATGTGCATATTCTTCAAAAAGATTGAGCACACGATTCCGGTACAATGGGTTTTAAGTTCTATAAAGGACAATGATGAGGCTGTCCTACAGTGCCCACAATTATCTCCGAATTTACCTTTCCCTGCGACCAAGCTTGCTGAAAAAGACACAGACATCGTGGTCTTTGCCCATAATTATTATCTCTGGTCATTTCTTCTCGTAACAGAGTCGACAATATTAATTTGGATCCATCACTTGTGGGGAGCCAGCCAACCTGCCAGACGTAATTTCTAATCACAGTGAGACACAATAATGATTTAACTTCAAAGCATTTTACCTGTTACACTTCGCTCCTAACCCACTGGATCCATGTTGCCTAGTTATAAATCCAGACAACAGAAAAGGAGGCCTTGCTTGAGCTTAAGGCATGCTACATGGGCGTTGTAAGTTAGAAACTGTAATAAACTCTTGATGCAAAACTATCCACGACTCAAAATGTTGGACCTCCGCAACTAACCCCAGCTATATAAATGACTCGTCAGTAATTCTAGCACTCAACTTTATTTGATACAAGGAAGTGAAAACCTAAGATAGGACCCCCAACACCACTATCCAATAAGGTATGCAGACACATGACAGTCTATATAGTTCTCATCTAGTGCATAATAAGGGGCAAAAGAATGTAGAAGGGAATAACATTAATAATAATAAACAATATTTGAAATTAACAAAAATGCAACCCATCTCTATCAAAACTAACCTCACAAGATGGAAGTTTTTTGGTTGATACAGTTTAAATCAGATTGAAATTGGATGGCAGTCAGGCAAATGGATATGTGATGTCTCTCAGCACTGGAAACACAGAAAATTTGGCCCTTAATTTGCTGGCGTACTGAACTTCACACAATGACATTCTTGGATGGTGTCGTGGTAAGAGGCAAAACAAGAATCTTGATTTACATGTAAAGAGCATCACAACAAAAAGGAAAGTTCCTATTTTATCTAGCTTCACTTCAGACAGATCACACAGGGATCATCTTTAAAGCTGCGGCAATTGGCATTCCCAGAAATCCAAAGAAAACACTACCAAGCCACTGCTTCCAGCTAAGGGGAGACGTGTTTGCGAAGGTGCCCAAGAACTCAACAACTATAATTTGAAAGAGGACAGTGCAAGTGATGACAGCCGCAAATACATAATTCTTCAGTATACCCTCAAAGACATTTATCTTCTCCATGTCCCTCGAACTGATCTCATTAAAAACCTACAGAAAGAATTTGCATGACAAAGAAATATCAGAATCAGAGAGCAAGTATATAGTTATGCTGCCAGAGGCCAAGTAGGGGCAGTGTTAGAATGTCTTGTCATATATTGGCATCTTCAAAGAAAATGACTAAGACCAAAACAGACTTCTACCAAGTGGTCAAGGAGTAAAAAATGGGAAATCAACTCGCCTCATAATGCATTCAACAAGGAAAATGGAAAGACAAACAACAGCTATGGGCATCTTCAAAGAAAATATTTTCCAAAATATTTTCCAACAACATGGATGTATATTCTATGCAAGCACATTTGAGTCACAACCATATTGGTGCAATAAAAATTAGACACTATTGATGCCAATGTCATGAAGGTTGAATTTTACCTGACAAAATACAAACGAGTTGAAAATAAGCGTGTTCAATGTCAGATCAGTATCTGGGCCTTCAAGATGGAAAGCTACTTTTCCTTTGGTCTGGAGGAACCAGATTATAGCAAACTGATATATAGACTGCCCCAAGATATTCCTCCACATCACATTAGTGATAAAGTTTCCCTTCCTACCAACAGGTGGCCTTTTCATCAGGTCATCATTAGGAGGTTCAGTTGCCAGCGCAAGTGCTCCTAAAGTGTCCATGATCATGTTGACCCATAGAAGTTGGACAGCAGTGAAGGGAGCATTTCCTAGGAGTTCACGTATAGCATGAGAAAAAATTAAAATGGGATTTAAAAATGGAGGAAATAAGAGACCATTGCAAAAGAACTTGACTTTGTATAGGGAAAAGATAAGAAAAGGACTTCATGCTTGCTTACCGGTCAAACAGGCAGAAGAGAAGTTGACAATCAAAGCAACAACATTTACAGTTAGCTGGAACTGCACAAATTTCTGTATGTTTATGTAGACTGACCGACCCCATTTGGCCACAGTCACAATTGTGGAAAATTTATCATCTAGTATTATTACATCTGCACTTTCTTTTGCTACCTGGAATTCACAATGCAACATTATAAGATTTATCAGAAGGAATTCAGAATAACATTCATTTCAAAAATCAAGAACTTGCCAGTTTCCACTAGTGGGCAATAAAAAGAAGTTTGGAAATTGTCCCATTGAGAAAGGGCAAACAAATGTAGGGTTAACATCTACTCAAGTTCAGCCAAGTAATTTGCTACTTGTTATATAGACCATAAAAGGTGCTGTTTATGTCCCGAGTACTTTCAGATTCAGTGACACACCATGGGGATTCTGAGAAGACTGATTCTCAAAATATATTTGAGTAGTATCATTTTCAAGATAAACATGATGAAGTGAAACATAACATGCAAATCCAATTTACATAATTCTGATGACAAGTAGGGCTGAAGATTACACGCACGCACATGAGGAAAAAATTATTGTCTTGTATTTCAGAAGAATTATTGGCACACCTCAGTTCCAGCAATGCCCATTGCAAGTCCAATATCTGCTTCATGAAGTGCAGGAGCATCATTTGTACCATCACCAGTAACTGCAACTACTTCTTCAAATGTTGTCCTCAAGTGTTTCACTAGGGTATGCTTATCCATAGGTGAAGATCGAGCCATTACCTGCAAATGCAGATATGGACATATTACATGCAGTTAATGGACACAAATTTCTTCCCAGTAAATGATTATAAATTGGACAAACAATCTCATCATCCTCTCCCCGGTTATATTTTATGAGATATTGACATGTTCACAATAACTGAGTGGACCTTTCAAGTTTAGGATAGCATGCATGCATCTGTAAGTGTTTCTTTAACTTCTCCTCTGGCTCCTTCTCTCACTGTGGGTCAAAAATACCGAAAATGTGGATTTAAAATGACATGATCATCAGTATGCACCTGAATTTTGGGAATTAAATCATGCAATTCCTGATCATTCTTCTCCCGGAACTCAGGACCTTCAATTGCTATGCCATCAGTTAGAATTCCACATTCTCTAGCAATTGCCTTGGCAGTATTTATATTATCTCCAGTAACCATTCTAACAGTAACCCCAGCAGCCCTGCAAATGGCAACGGACTCTCGAACACCAGGGCGAACTGGATCTTTGATACCCACAATTCCTATACATGTATACCCACTAGTAGGAATAGCACTTTTAACAGAGTATTCTCTACCAATCTCCATGTAAGCAAGGCAAATAGTTCGCAGAGCTTCACTGGCAAATTTTTCAATTGTGTTGTTCAACTCATTGATGGATTCTTCATCAAGTAGAACGACCGTGCCATTAGAGTCTATAACCTTGTCACATGCAGCAAGAATTATCTCAGAAGCACCTTTGCAGTGTGCTCTGAAGCTACCATCAGGAAGCTCTAGAACCACTCCCATGCGCTTCTTTAGAGAGTTAAAGGGTTCCACTTTCACAATTTTTGACATTTGTCGTTCCTGAAGGAAATCTCCACCAAGGGAAAGCCCAAAGTCTAATAGTGCACTCTCAGTTGGTGTTCCCAGAATCTCAATCTTGTCATTTTTGTCTCTGACAACATCTCCTCCAGTGTTATTAAATATTGATTGAAGGAGAATTCTCAGAGCAGAATCAGGAACATCAGTCAAGAAATCAGAAGAGATTTTAGAGCTACCTACATCCTTTATCTTCCTACATATGCAAGCTTTCACAACAGTCATATGGTTGGTGGTGAGAGTGCCAGTCTTGTCACTGCAAATAGTAGTAGCAGATCCCATTGTCTCACAAGCAGCCAGATGACGGACAAGAGCCTTATCATTCATCATCTTTTTCATAGCAAAAGCAAGGCTTAAAGTTACAGCTAAGGGTAAACCTTCAGGAACCGCAACAACAACGATAGTAACAGCAATAGCAAAGAATTCCAAAATTTCCCTAGCGTCACCACTAGACCACCTCCAGTGGGACCCTTCTTGTAGTTTGTGGCTAAATAGTCCTTGGACCAAAACACTGAACGTCACAACAGCAAAGAAAAGGCCTATTTTCCCTATAATGGTAGCTACACCATTGAGCTTGACCTGCAAGGGAGTTTCATCATCTCCCCCTTCACTTAGAGTGGCCATTAGTTTTCCCCACTGTGTTCTCATTCCAACAGTAGTCACAAGCATCCGGCAAGATCCATCCTGGACTTTAGTTCCGGAAAGAAGAAAAGGTTGACAGTCATTGACATCAACTGGTTCACTCTCTCCTGTCAAACTTGATTCGTTTATCAACACAGAGAAACCTGACACAAAGAGTCCATCAGCAGGGACCTGATCTCCAACATTTAGGTGGACAATATCACCAGGAAGTAAATCATAAATTGAAATCTTCTGTCTGCATCCATTTCGTGTGACCTGTACTGTAATCTTTTTCTTCTCCCTATCTAGATCTTTAAACTGTAATGATTGTCTATAATCACTTGTGGCAGTGACAAACACAACAAGCAATATGCTTGCAACAATACCAATTCCGTCATGCGCACCCCTAGGCCATCCTTCCACTACTATGCCAACCAACAAAGAGACTAAGGCGCAGACAGCAAGTATCATAAGGGTTGTGTCTTGAAGGGCTTCCCATACAAAAATCCAAAACCCCCGGGCTGGGCTTTCAGTGAATCTATTAATTCCATAAATCTCTTTTCTCTGATTAAGTAATTGCTCAGATGTCGACAACCCCTCATCTAAAGAGGTAGCAAGCTTGTTTGAAATACTCTCAATCCCTCCATGAATTTTCAGCTTCTTCACATCACGACCTTCAACAATTGATCCCAACTCATCAGCACAAATTTCAAAACCTGCAGCTCTAACTTCTTCTGGTACAGTGTATTCACTCGACAATTTTAGACCTGGAGAGGGTGCATATTTTCTTATTATGTAAATGAGAAACCTTAATATCAATTATCAAAATACAAGAAGGCTCACCCTCTTACCATGGATAAACTGAAGTGCAGCTTGTGAAACCAAGACTGCAACTCGGAACTTCTCCTGCAGTGTATAGAAGTTGGGAAAAAGGTCAGAGAATGAGATGCTGTTGCAACATTTATTGTGTTTAATTCCACATCACCCAACAAGTTTAAGCCCTTCAGGAAGCTGTTATTATCTCACGGTACTGGACTAAGAAAACCACAATTCCCAATCCTGCCATAACCATTAAATCTAAATTTGAAATCCATGAAATAGACTTCAGGAAGTGTTCATCTCAAACGTAAGGGTTGCGAGAATATAAAAACGAAGAAATTGCAATGCTTTGCTAAAACAGTGACTTCAAGAGAATTTGGTTAATTTAACAGTACCAGCCAATCTTGAAAGTCTCTTCAAATGAAAGATAATACTCTATTTGTTCTTTCTGTTTGATCAATTCTCCACAAGTATAACAGTTATTAGGACTTTTCCCTCAATCTTACTTAGCATAACCTCAAATCTGATACAATATGCTAAGTGGGCTGACTTTAAGAAAAGAACAATCAAAAGGAAATTCTTGACATTACCTTCATTTTACTAATATTCTGGCAAGAGGTCCTCCGTTCCAAAATCAAGTGACTTAACAACATATCATTGGATATTCAAGTGAAGTTAACAGGTCAAAACATTTATGTTCCTTCTATATTTTTATTTTACTTGTGATGAAGTTATCCCCCACATTACATTGCGCTAGAGCAATTTATAAGTATAGGCACTGCAAGGAATCCAAATCACGTAGTATCACCGTGCGTAAAATATCTATATAGATCACACACCTTCTTGATTAAGTGGGGCACTGCAATTTCTTGAATATGATTAAGTGCAACATCAAACCACAATTAACATAAACACCTGATTTTTCTGCTCACTTTAAGCAACTTCTGGAGTAGAGTAACTGCTCTTCCCATAATTGTTAAAATATTACCATGATAATACAGTTCACTCATTACTCAAGACCAACCCAGCTTTCCATTTGAATTGAATTGTGAATCAAATAAAGCAGTATTTTGAAGTCATGATAGCAAGCCAAAAAGGAAGAAAATTCTGTCAACTGAACCTTAATAAATGGAATCAATACTTCATAGATAAGTAGAGCTATGAAGCGAAATAGCTATTTAGATTTATGGACATTGTGCACAATTTGTTGGGATAGGGAGGAGGGTTATGAAAGCCAAGATAGGAAACCCTGCAGTCCGATACTATTTTTCCCCACTCGTCTTCTTCGAGAGAATAAGACAAGGCATGTGATTCCTGCTAAGCTTCTCACAGAGCTCCTGACCAATCATATCAATGAAAAGGGAAAGAGTATAAAAGAAGAAACCTGATTAGAGCGTCTTATAGCTTCGGCTTCAAATCGTTTGGTGAGATTGGCAGTGAAGCGAAATCTCCTCTTACGGTTTTTCACAAGCCAACAGAGTTTTCTCCATCGCTGAAGCGCCTCCTCCGAGGAGTTCTTAGGTTTCACGTCACCAAAGTTCTCATTCAGATAAGTCTCCATCTATGCCTTGACGGCCTCAAAAGCAACTGAAGGAAAATCTACTGTAGTCCACTCCGCGCATTCAAGCTCAGGAAGAGAAGCTAAATCAAATCGTGAAAATCTCCTCTTAAGGACCAAGATCAGCTTCTCTTGAGTTGATGCGTGTTGAAAATTTACTTTATTCCCAACTTAGTGGTGCTTTAGAAGAGAAAAGTTGGAGTGTAGCCGCAATCGATTTCAAAACACTGAGATGCTAAGATTCCAAGGTTCAAATTTAGAAATCCTTAACCGTAACCGGATCACTGTGGCTTCGCAACTAGAGGAAGCGGTTTACCCTTGAAAATGACCTGCAAGTCAACACTGAGCTAAAGGTTTGCTGGCCTAGCGCAGATCTAGCAAGCATATTTGCTTTTTTTTTTTTTGGGAGGGGGCGTGGTGGGGTTTGAAAAACAAGTATATTTACTTTATATGTGTGTAAACGCATGTAGTACAATCCATATTTGGTATTTTAAGTTATAAGAGATGATAAATTTTATAAAAAAAATAATAAAATTTTTTTAAATTATATAAATAATAATTTAATCTCTTAAAATTTAAAAAAATTAAAATAAAAATTATTTTATTTTTATTAATAAATTATGATTTTTTGTTTAATTTTTATAATTTTTAAAAAAATAGTGATTTTTTAAATAAAAATTGTGAATGAAATTTACAATTTTAAAAATTTACTTTTTAATAATAGAAACTATACTTGGTAAATTATAATTTTTTATTTAATTTTTATAATTTATGTAACAAAAGTTATTATTTGAGCTTGTTTTTAAATAATAAAAATTATATTTAATAAGTTATGATTTCTTGTTCAATTCTTGCTATTTACAAAACAAAAGTTGTAACTTTTTAAATAAAAGTTGTGATAGATTCTTGCTATTTTCAATAAGGGTAAAATAATTTTTTTAAGAAAAATTATTGACAAGGAGGTTTCTAAAAATTTCATTAGTATTATGATATTTTAAGAGATCAAATTATCATTCATATAATTTAAAAAAAATTTATTATTATTTTTCTTAAATTTTAAGTTAAAAAGGAATGAATTGAAATATAGATTTTTAAAATATTTATTACTTCCTTTGGAAAATTATGAAAATATGTAAACATATTTTTCATTGGAATTAAAAAAAATGGTTCAATACTCTCCTATTTAAAATTATAAGGTATTTTTAACTTACTTTTGCCCTTAGTATCATTAAAAATTACATACTCTCTCTCTCTCTCCCCCTCTCTCCCTCCCCCCTCTCCCTCTCATGAATTACATATTCTCTCTCTATTTCATCATTTCACATATATAAATATAAAAATAATTTTAATTTTAATTATTCATTAATGGTGTCTTTGAAATAATTTTGTTGTGAATTTTTTGAAATAAAATTTTTTAATTGGAAATATCAAAAAAAATTATTTTTAAATTTGATATTTCTAAAACAAATCTTATAATTTTAAACAAACAGAAGTAATAAAATACACTACATGCTTAAGCATTTGGTTGGAAGGTGATTGAAGAGTACCCTACAAAATTTAACCTTTTGGATGGGATAATTGTAGTTAGTTAGATATAAATTACAACAAAAAAAGCTTATATTAAAATAAGACACTAATTAATTCTTAATTGTCCGTTGGGATGCTCTTGATACACAAAACAAAGGATTATCAAAATTTTTCAGATTTTTTTTTCCGTTGAAATGAAATCCTTCCTTCCATCCTTTGAGGCTTGGGCCAGATATGGAGATAAATTTTTAATTTTAATACTATAGTCGAGCAAAATATGAATGTCTAAAATAAACTTGTAATGCTCATAAAAAAAATAACGGTAATTTACTCTCTTTTTTTTCAAAAAGTGAAACTATCGGGCCTCGTGCGTAACAGCGGGAAGTGAGCAGGGAAAAACAGTCTTTGACGATGTGATTGGTTCTGAAACGGGAATCTTGTGGTCCTACACGCCCCACACGTTGACAGAGGCAATGGCATTTTGACAGCTTGTGGCATTTAAGGCATGGGTCTCATTTTAGTAAAACAAGTAATTGAAACGAGTTGAGTTTATTTAAATTAAATTTAAAATATTTATTTTTTAAAAAAGTTTATATAATTAAATTTGGTTTTAATATTTTTAGACTTATTCGAGTCAACTCAAATACATGAAAGTTTACAAAAATATTTTTTAAATTAATTTTAATTTTTAAATAATTTTATTAAGTATAAAATATTATTTTTAATTTAAAAAATAAAATAAAATAATAACTTATTAAATTTGTAATTAAGTAGCTCTATTACTATTTTGTTGTATTTTATATAATTTATTCATGTCCTTTACTCATAAACTGATGTGTTAATCTTTTAAATATTATCCTTATTATAGTCATATATAAATATTTTAGATACTTTAATTGAATTATATTATTTTAATTATGATCAAGTTAATTTTAATTCAATCACGATTAAACTATTAACTTAAAATTAATGTCTTCATTAATTCAAAGTTTTTGATAATTTTTAGGTAAACTATACTTTTCATTTTTCTAAGAATATAAGAAAAATAGTCATTATTCTATTATATAAAACAAAATCATTTAATTATAAGTAAAATAGTATTTTTTTTTTCAAATTGTTTCTTCCTTTAATTTTTTTATATTGTTTAACCTTTACATACAAAAATATTATTTTATTTATTATATTTTTCTAGTAGTAGATCCAAGAATTCGTACACGTCCAAAATTATTTTTACTTTAAAATTAATTATCTTGTTTTAAAAAATATAAAATATATTTTTTAGATATGCAAATAATGTATAAAAACTCAAAAAAATTTTAAAAATTGGGTCTTCAAATTAAAAATAAATATTAAAATATATTTTAAATATTATTTTAAGATATTTTATTGATTAAAAATAATAAAAATATGAAATATAAATATTTTTATATTTTTAATTTTTTTAAAAAATTATAATAATGTACTCAAATATATATTATTTTAGTATAAAATGACATAAAATTTAAAAAATTAATTAATATTTATTATATTTTTTATTTGGGTATTTAAGCTAAGTCTGAATTTTCTTGAGCCTATTCTCGAATAGCGTCAAAGATTAAAATTTTAAGTAAATTTGATCTAAATTATTAGCTCCAGATTTTATATCCCTCGAGTGTTGTGCTACTCGTGTCCTTGTAATAAACAACTTCAATTATCTCAGTGAAATTTAAAGGAAATGGGTGAATAATTAATGTTATTTAAACATAAAATAAATTTAATAAGAATAATTTGTAAATATTTATAATTCATTCCTTTCATTAAAAAATATAAAGTATTTTTTTAAGAGTTAGATATTTAAAAATATAAAGTATTTTTAATCTTTTGAGATGTATTCATTGCCTTTTTTAAAAGTATCCCTATTAATAATAAATTTATATTTATTATAGAGTATTTAATAGAGGTAAATATGAAAAGATAAAATTAGTTTAAAAGTAAATAACTACTTTATTAAAAAGTAAAATTCAGTTAAAAAACACCTTATATTTTTTAACAGGGAAGTATTTAATTTTTAATTGAGTTTTTATAGTTTATTTTATTTTAGTTAAATTTTTTTAATTTAATCAATTAAATATATTAACTTTTGGATTAAAATATTTTAATTTTTTTGAAAAATAAGGAAAAAAATTTTATATTTTTATTAAAATATAATATAATTTTAGAACTAATTACATAATTTCTATAACTCAGAATTTATATAATTAATTTATGTTTTAAAATAATTTTTATATATACATATTTTAATTAAAAAATTAATAAACATGTAAATATTGTATGAAATTACATTTTCATTTTATTATTTTGGCTAAATATATTAAATCAATTTTTCTATAAATTTTAAAAGTATTTTTATTTTGGGAAAGTTAATTGTTCATTAATAATTTTAATCAATATATTTAATCTATCCAATTATAAGGACATGATTAAAACAAAATAAACAATAAAGGCCTAATTCAAAATTGATTAAGAATAGAAGGACTTGCAAATTAATTTTTTCAATAAATTTTTAAATATACTTGTCACACCCGAAAAATACGATGTAGACAGTGCGCAACCAAAGGTTCCAACCTTCAGGGTGAGAATCAGATCGAACGAGAGTCGCCTCCAAAATTTTAAAAAAAATCTTAAAAAAACATTTAAAGAAGTATAAGGATGATTTGTGAAAATATAAAATAAGTTCAAGAATTGATTGAGTGTGAAAAAAATATTAGGCACCCTACAACACTTGTTCATTAGAACAATTACCTGAAGTTTGTTGTGCTATATTAATATGATTTTATAATTATTTTAATTATTCCTTTTATATTCATGTGTTTGAAAAAATGATAAGAATTAAGTGAAAAATATTTATTTATTTATTTATGAGGGAGGACTTGTCTCAGAATCTGACTTTAAGGCCTACATACCCTGTAATGAGGATCAAAGTTCACGTAGTTTGGGCTTGAAAGTTGTTGGTAAAAATATTTTGTGTATGAAAAATTAATTAAAAATAATTTATCATTTTACAAATAAAGCAATTTCTGAAATTTTGATATGTGTGTTTTAAATTACAAAAAGTAATTTAATTTTAATTATTTTCTCATTTTTAAATTTTTAAATAAAGAAAAGAAAATTTATTTTTTATATGATTGGGAATTTAATCATTATACCTGCAAAACTTTATTGGTTCATACGGTAATACAGTTATTTTAAATATCTACGGAGATTTTAAAATCTCACACGATAAAAAAATTTAGCAATTTAATTTATTTATATTTTTAAGTGTTAGTAATAATTTATTTAAGTATGTATATATGTGTGTGTGTGTGTTTTTAAAGAATTTCAATCGTCATACCTGCAAAATCTTATTGACTTATATGATAATACAATTATTTTATATATCTACGGAGATTCCAAAATCTTACATGATAAAGGAATTACATTTATTTAAATATATTTTTAGTTTAATTGATTTAATGTATAATTTGTACATATATATATATATATATATATACATTTTTAATAAAACTTAATCGTTATATCTGCAGAGTCTTATTGACTCATACGATAATACAATTATCTTAGAAGTCTATAAAAATTTAAAAATCTCACATGACTACAAAATATAATCGGTAAATGTGATTACAACTTAAATATAGTAATTTAATTAATTAATTTTTTAAATTATGTATTATATGATTATTTACAAAAATCATTTATTTATTATGAAAATTGAAAATCACTACATCTGTGAGGACTTATTATCTCACACGATGATGTGATTAATTTAAGTCTTTA